TAATAATAATAATAATAATTATTATTATTATTATTACTATTGCTATTACTATTATTATTACTGCTGCTATTATTACTATTTTTATTATTACTATTATTATTATTATTATTATTATTATTATTATTATTATTATTATTATAATAATAGTAATAATAGAGAAAAAGGAAAAGGGAGGAGCCGATGGAAACTATTGGAATGGGCGGAATCGGCAGGAAAGAGCACTTGGAAGACGTTTCAAGAAGAGTTTGTTTATCTTGCTGACTCTTCCATATCCAACAACTTCCTCACTCTCCACCTCCCTTAGCCCTCTTCTCTTTTCCACTCATTTTCTATGGTTTGCTTTCGACAGCCATCATGTGATATTATATATGGAGAACTTTTGGGTCATTTTTTACAGATTGATACTTATAGTATGGATCTATCTTAATTTGATCCTTTCACTTTTTACAGATTGTTATCACCTATGTCCCTAAATTTTAGAGTCACCTTCATTTTGCCACTTAAACTTTGAAATTTTTACTTTACCACTCTAAACTTTCATGAACTTTCATTTTGTTCCTTCCGTTCAAATTTTCGTTTAAAAGAGACAATTAACGTCTCACGTGCACTCACATGCATAGTATTTGAGGGTAAAATCGTAATAGAATTTTTGATGATTTGTACTTATACCCCATGAACTTTAGAGTCCCCCCACTTTGCCCCCATGAACTTTGGAGTCGCCCTCACTTTGCCCCTAAACTTTCAGGTTGCCTTCACTTTACCCCATAAACTTTTTCATTGTTCTCGCCATACTACTTCAAATTTTAAATTTCTCTCATTTTGAAAAGTGTAGTATTAAATGACGAAATTTTTTGCAGAAATTTTTTAGAGATATTAGCAAAAAGTCGATAAGTGCTTAGGATGAATTTGTATATTTTAGATTAACTTTTACCAATATCGACATTTCCATATAATTCAGGTACTACTATATCTTACTACGAATCAAATCAATGAAAATAATTCAAATAAAAAAAATGATAAAAATGACATCAAACCGTGTTTAGAAAATAAGAAAAATCATATTGAGTGATCAGATTACTATGGAGGCGAGTGAGTGGGTACCAATCTTAAATAAGTAGAGGGAGCAAAGAGAGAAAAATTCAAAGTTTAGGGTACTACAGTAGGAGCTATGAAAAAGTTCATGGGGCAAAATGAGGTCTACTCCAAAGTTCAGCGGCAAAGTGGGGGCAATCTTTAAAATTCAAGGGCCAAAGTGAGGTGACTTTAAAGTTCAGGGGGTATACGTGCAGATCACTAAATTTCATTAACTATTTTACCCTCGAATACCATGTACGTGAGTGCACGTGATACGTTTTCTGTCTTTTTTGAATGAAAATTAGGACGGAAGAGGCAGAGTAGAAGTTCATGAAAGTTTAGGGTAGTAAAGTGAGAATTTTTAAAGTTCGAGAGGTAAAGCGAGAGTGACTTTAAAGTTCAAAGAGGCATAAGTAATAATAATTCAAAAATAATTTAAACTAGAAGGCATTTTTTTTTTTTATTTTAGATTGCTAAAATGGTGAAAAAAATAATGTAGATTTAAAAAATTATTCTAAAAAAGAACGATTTAAACTAGGTGGCATAATTGATTATTTTATCTCATTAGATTTCGTATGAAAATAGATAGTTACTTACTAAAAGGTCAAAATTATATATTTTAAAACCGTCAAGATAACTACACTTTTTTTTTTTTTAATACTGATAGCTAAACTGTTTAAAGTAAATGTTAAATGAGAGAAAAAAGATATCCTAATTGTTACGGGTAAATTCTAAAAGTTTTCTCTAAAGTCCAACTTTAAGTATTAGTTGCCACTTTGCTTTAGGTATGAAAAAAAAAAAAAAAAAAAAAAAAAAAAAAAAAAAAAAAAAAAAACCCGTTAAATTTATGGTCTTTATCCTTGAGCTTCAAAATGTGATTCTCAAGGTCTCACCTCTTTTCATGCAAAAATACACTATTATTTTCTTCTACATTTTGGATAGTGGTTGAGATTGACGATTTTCTCAAATAATGAATTTTAACTCGTTACTTGAGGCGGGGAACAATTTAAGATTTTTTCCCACCAAAATTCATTTAACTTCGCTCTAATTGGAGGCATCCATTTTGATTAGCCAAAAAAAAAAAGGTTGGACGCATCCATTGTTATAGATTGAAAACCAAAAAAAAAAAAAAAAGAGTAAAATTGCCTTAAGCAGTTAAGAGGTGGGATGATAACTCAACCACTGTCTTTGAGAACTTTTATAGTGGAACACTCATTTTTGCTCCACCAATGAAACATTACTTTTTTAACTGTTAGATTTATACAGATCTGCATTAAAAATCTATAATGCGTCATACATATCTGTTTTTACTGTAAATCTGACTGTTAAAAAAGTAATTGAACAGTAAAAAACAGTGCTCCACCAATGGAGAAAAATTGAGGGTTTCAAAATAGAGGTTCTCGAGAAAAATATAACATTTTAAAGTTCAGTGATTAACTCTTATTACCAATATTAACAAAATCATTTTTTCTAGGTATATATGAATAGTTTCACGTAACAAAAAATGAGATTAAATAGTTCTTATATTTGCTAAAAGAAAAGTCCTAAATTGATATATTTGCCACGTAAGAAACTAATAAATCCCGTAATCTTATGAGAATTATACGTTACTATTGTTGGATAAAAAACTCGTCTTACATTAATATGTGATTAGTCTTCATTTATTTATTTATTATTTTTTCTATCCTAATTTATTTATTATTTTTCGTTTTCTTTTCTTTTCTCCCTTTGACCTTTAACTCCGAGCATTCCTCCAACTCATGCTGCTACTACTAACCAGTAACCACATATATTTACCACAATTCCCCAAAATAAGAAATCGTAGTAAACACATTTTTATAAAATTAAATTAAGTAAATAGCAGATTTTAAAATATTTGAAATAAATAATAGTAAAAATATATTTTTACCGTGTATAATTTTTATTTACGATTAGTAAAAAAAATTTTAACACGTAAAATTTCTGTTTATAACTGATAAAAATATTTTTTATCATATAAAATTTTAATTTACTGTTATTTATTTTAAATTATTTTAAAATCAGGTAGCTACTTCATATCTATCCCTTGCAAAATTTTGACATTCATTCCATTTCAAAACCCATAAGGAATGGGCTCAAGTATCGTTTACTAGGTTTGAGGCGCAGAAGATCTCGGGGCCCAGTAGTTAGTGGCTTATTTAATGGATAACGTGCAAAATCAGACATGAGTACTAGGAGTGTTCAAAAAACCGTCAAACCGCAAAAATCGCTTAATTTAAATTAATTGAACTAAATTATTAATTATTCTTCTTAAACCGCATGATAATCCTCCCAAAAGTACACATATATAATTTTTAATTTTTAAAATATTTTTATATTTATTTTAATTTTTATTGGTCATAATAAATGTTCTACACTTATAAAATACACTTTGTCATACTTTTATTAGTTTGTGTTAAAACTTTAAATGGTAAACTGTTAGATATTTGTTATTTTTAAGTTATATTGTAAATTTAAATCTTATTTTTATTTTTATTGATTAATGATTTTATAATTCTTATGAATTATTGAAAACTTTTTTAATATTAAGCTTAAACCGTCCAAATTAAACTGCCTAAAAACGCTTATAAGTGATTTGGTTTAATTTGGTTTTTGTCAAAAATATTAAATCACCCAAAAGAAAAAAAATATTTTTATTTTGGTCGGTAGTTTTTAAAAAAAGGGTCTAAACCGACCGCAAACACCCCCAAACATGACCATCTTTTACATACCAAAAACAGAGACTGTACGAGTGTAAATTTTTAAGAAAATTGCTAAACTTACGTTTGAGTCTGAATTTTTACTCCTTACTCTTAATTAATACTTTTTTCTGAATGTAGTTATTTGACTAAAAATAATATTAATAAAAAAGTATAGAATAAAAATCTAAACTCATACACTGGTGGTATTTGTATCCTTTCTCTTATATTTTTGGGAGTAACAGCAAGTCAGGGCAACAAATCAATCTCTTAAAAAACTTAGGATTAAATCAACAATCAATTGTTATAGCCGTATAGAGAGAGCTCAAAAATGCACATCTATACTGAATATGCTCAAATATCTTAAACCCCACTTTTCAAGGCTCCAACGCCTTGCTCTAATACAATTGAATTTCCCTCAAAAATCTTAACTCACATGACAATAATTATTCTCAAGTAACTTATATATGTCCAGCTATATATACTTTCATGACGCAAAAATATTTTTATAAACATGTTATGGAATCCTACTTAAACAAAGGTCTTGTGTCCACAGTCATAGACTCATCCTTATTCATCTTGTAAAGGTGATGTCCAATGTGTCACTTTTTTTTTTACCTGTTCAGCTTGACTGCCCTGGGCTTGAGCAAACCAGAACTTGACAGTTCCTGGTCAGCAAGGGCATGAAGAAAGTGGCACCGGTGACCGTAGGGACAGGCAATGCCGGCGAGGACCATCCTGCAGACTTCAGTCTTGTAGCGGGGGTGGCGGATGACCGGACGTAGCTCTTCAATGCCGTGAGCGAATTGGCAGTGCTCTCCATATGGACAATTGCCCATTTCCTGCCATTTGTTGCACAGCTCTGTCTTGAATGAGCCTTGTCTGTTCACCTCTATTTCAATTGGCTCATGATCATTGTTCTTTCCTCCACCCACGTACACCTTTCTCTGTGTTGTGATAGAGTTAGTGACCATTGATCGTAGTAAGCATTTGCCTTTTAGTCATTTCAATTGTGGATTAACTAAATAATATTATTAGCAAACAGTTGGGGATCAAGATCAATGATGTTGACTAAATATGTTTAAGGAAATTGGGAAGCCCAATAATCTCAGGCTAATATCCAAAAAGGTGTTGGGTGAAGTAGTTTTAGAAAATCAAACTATAAAGTTTTACATGTTGCTAAAAAAGAAAAAGAGGATTTCTTCCTATATTTATGACTTATCCGTCATGTAATGTGTAATAAAACATGCCAAATTAACTTAATCCCAGATAAATTTTCAACAACAAGAACACCCACAATAATAAATTAATCTTTGATAATGCTCATATAATACATTATTTATTTGATATGTACATGATTATATGACACATGTGAATTTATCTTTACTGTACCACTAAGAAAGTACAGGTGATATTGGAGGTCATGATCCTTCGATTTTGTGGGATTTTTCCTAAGAAACGTATTATTACTGTTTAGTTTAGTACTTAGAAATTAAAAAATAATGATATTAACATGATTTATTCAATTATAAATATCCCAAAAACTCTGAACAATAACATAGAAAATTAAAAAACATAGGACCCGTTTGGTAACATTTTTAAAATGATTTTGTTTTCAATATAAAAGTAAAAATAAGATTGTTTTGAGAATCATTCTGAAGCCGATACTGAAATTACGTTTGGTTGGTTTTTTAAGATATTGTTTTGAGTATAATAAAAAAGTAAAATTGTATTTGGTTATAATTATTAAGTAATACATTATAATATTGTTAATAAGTAGGGATGAAATTATTAATTAATATATTATAATATTGTTAATAAGTAAGGTGTAACTCGGCTGGATAAGTTCGGGTTGGGCCTAAAATTTAAGTCGGGCCGTACAGGTCTGGGTGAAAGAAATTTGGGCCGCAACACCCCTTTGGGCTCATAAACCCGTAACCCTTCAGGTTACCTCGGATAGGCTCAGTTTTGCGGGTTTGTCGGTTTGGGTCTAGACGTTAGCCCTGTGTCCCCTGTGCACTAGAGCAAATTGTAGGCTGAAAATTTCAGCCTTCCAGATATATATATATGATCCAATTTCAGAGCCCAAGAAGCTATATAAACAAACCTCAGGAAGCAAATTACACTTCCATTAATATGATCATTAATCTAATGAAAACTTTCCAGGTATTCTTGATCAAAACTCAGAATTTAAACAGTCGTAAAAAAAATACACATCCTTTAAACGAGAATTTGTCTCAAGTCTCACTTAAAAATGGAAACAATATTACAATCTAATTCCACTAAAATGGTCATTAACCATCTAACTTTATCTATGTTTTCTCAGCAACCAAATCCGGATTAAAAAAAATTATGATATCAGTACTCATAACTCCCATTTGGTAGCCAAAAAGAAAAAAAAAACAGAGGAAATAAAGAAAATTGAAGTGCAATTCTCAACAGCTCTCATGACCCCAAAAATTCCTAACCATTGTGAGTCCAAAGCCAGAAACTTCAATTTTTCTCCGGACCCAGATGAGAGAACATGCAAAAGATTCTTATAAACCAATATATATATATATATAAACTTATTTCTTTCCCCATAATTTCCCAGCAACCAAAAAGGTAACAAACAAAAAACCAAAAACAAAGACAAAAAAAGAATCAAACAATGATACATTAAAAGCAAAGTAAGCACCTTGTGGGGATGAACCAAGAAGGTGTAGCTGGAAAAGCAGCACCGGAAGAACTCACCATGGGCGTCAAAATTGGGGGAAGAATTGGACTGTGAGAAGAAGAAGAGGAACGGAGAGTCGGAGACTAAGAGTGGCTGAGAAGTGAGAAGAGGAACTGAGAACTGAGGAGGAGGCGAGGGGAGGCGAGACTGAATTGAGAAGTGAGAAGTGAACTAGTGAAGTGATTAGGGTTTTTTTTTTTTTTTTTTTTTACACCACTCTATCTTCACACGGTCAGGAGAATAACGGGTCATAGGATGCCGCCCCGCACATTACAAGTTGGGCCTATTTGAATTCGAAAAAAAAAAACTATGTTTTCAAGTAGGATTGGGTTGGGTTAGGTAGGGCGAGTTAGTTGGGTTCATGCTGAATTCTTACGGCCCTATTAAGAACTAGAAAATGAAAACAGAAAAAAATAACTTTTAACCGTTTTTAATTCTTTTACAAAAACTATTCTCACTGTTTTTTATTTTTATTTTCATTTTCAAAATATTTACTAAACAAACACGGTTTACGAACCGTTTTAAAAAATAATAAAAATTAATTCCAAACACACTTATAATTTATGTCCATGAACTTTGAAAAAAAGTGCAATAAATTATAATATTCCCTTATCATTGAAAACCACTAACGTGAAAAATGAAAATAATTTGAGCAAATAACAACAACAACAATAACAATAATAATAAACATCATTGTCAACGAACACCCCAAAAAAAAAAAAAAGTAGTAAAATGAGAAATTACCTTAACATTCTGCAGAGCGGGGATTCGTGACTGCGACGAATGACGAGTCCGTCCGCCATTAATTGCGATTGCTTGAGCTTTTCTCAAGTACTCCTCGGACTTCACAGAGATGCTCTTCGGCAGCGAGAATCTCTCGTCCTCGCTTCCGATGGAGCTCGTCCGCCTCTCGTTTCTCGTTTCTCCTTCCGGAAACCGAATCGCTTTCTTCTCAGTCCCTTTTTCTCCGCGAAACATCGTCCAAGAACCGAGGCGATTCTGCACGGATGCTTGGATCAGAAGACGGAGCTTTTTGTTGAGCTCGACGTTGACGGAGCGGAGACTAGTGTTTTCGCGACGGAGAGAGGTTGCTTCGTCGGCGGCGCGACGGAGGCGGTGGAGGCAGAGGCTGTGGCGGTTCACCATTTCCTGACGGTCCTGAACCAGAAGAGTGTTGTAGAGGCGGTTTCCATTAATGGCAGAGATCGAAGAATCGGAATCGAGCTCCGTGAAGGCCATGGAAGGTTCACGTCTGAAGATCGATTGGAACTTCGACGACGACGATGGTAACGAAACGTTCGTTTGCATTTTCTCGAAACTTCTAGAAACGCGATTCAGAGAAACAAAACAAAATCAAGAAACTAATAATGGAAGATTAATAAGCATTCAAGATCAAGAAATGAAAGCATTATTCAGTAACAGATTGGAAACACAATGGGAAACAAAAAACAGAAAAGATAGAAGGAGATTTCTTATTTATTTATTTTGTTTTTGGGAAATGCATACACGAACCAAGTGAATTATTACCCTTCAGAAGCAGAAATCATAAAGACTTGTTCGTACTTGAAGAAGAAGGTGAAGAGATATAATCTATTATATATATATATATATATATATATTGCTTACTCAGAGCGATAGTAGTGGGGAGTGAGGAGGGACAGAGAGAAACGAATTCGAACCGTTAATAGAGACAGCTCTCTGTCTCTCTCTCTCTCTCTGTCTGTCTCTCTCTCTCTCTCTCTCTCTCTCTCTCTCTCTCTCTCTCTCTCTCTCTCTAAGGCGATGAAGTTCTTGAAGATGAAGTTCTTGAATTGCCCTTATTGTTGCATCAACTTCTCTGTATTTGTATAGTGTATTTGACACATTCTAGCAAAAAAGGGGGAAAAGAAAAGTGTATGTGACACATTTGCCTACTGAATTTTTTTTTTTTTTAATATTACTGAGTGACCTCTTAAACTTGTATTTTTAACAATGACGATTGTTAAAAATTTAGAAAGAAATATTTTATATGCTGAATTCAATTGAAGAAAAAGATTGAAATTGATCACGATCAGAGTATGTCATGTCACATGAGGGTATTCTTTCTAAATTTTAACATTATATATCCATTTAGCGCACCCTGTAAAAATTTATTAAATTCATGCATGATTTATTCCGATTAAAATTTCAGTAGGCAACGTGTTAATTTAGTCAAACTTCAGGGACACGAATGCTAAAAGAACCCTATTTGCAATGGCATTCTGGTGATCATTTTGTAAAAACTAGAAATATATGTGATCAACGATAAAATAGTTGTTTATTACACATTTCTTATTTGTTTGGTTCATTTTAATTCCTCGGATTGATTAATATCTATTAATATTGGGAGATATAGTCATGTCACCATATGAGGATGTTCTTTCTAAATTTTAACATTATATGTCCATTTAGCGCACACTGTAAAATTGTATTAAATTCATGCATGATTTATTCCGATTAAAATTTCAGTAGGCAACATGTTAATTTAGTTAAAATTCAGGGATACGAATGTAGTGTTGTTAAATGGGCCGGGCCGTCCATGCCCAGCCTGTAATAGTGCCGGATTCAGCACGGCCCGGTAGGGTACTGTTACGGGCCGTGCCGGCCCGGCCCGGCACGTGTAATGGGCTAGGGTTGGGCCTCGGCTTATCAGCCCGCGGCCCAAGCCCAGTTCGGCCCAAGCCCGGATTCAGCCCTTGTTCGGCCCGGCCCAGGCCTGCCAAACGGCTTGCAGACCGTTCTAAATGTGACCATTAGGCACTTCGTGGGCCCAACGGTTGGCCCGTGATGGGCCTCCCGTTTGGCCCGTGACGGGCCTCCCGTTAGGTGTGACGGGCCGATCGTTGGGCACGCGAAGGGCCCAACGGCCACAATCCGAAAATGGCCCCAAAAAAGCCCCTATAAAACCCCTTAATTCCACCATAAATCCCACACAACAATTCACTCTCGACTTCTCATCTCACTCTCATTCTATCTCTCATCTTGTCTCTTTGATTTTGATTCTAAGCTTTTTTCTCGCGATTACGCATTTTCTTGCTCTTTCATTTACAAAGTTTTAGTTCAATCAATTTCCAGAAAATGGCCGCATCAAACTAACCTGATTTCACTGCTCTTCCTGAGCTTGGTGATGAGCCATTTTTTGAGGATGAAATAATGCCTCCCAACCCCACCCCCACTGAACCAGAAAATGCTCCGGTAGATAATGCTTCAGTGCACAATGAAGAAGCTGGAGAACGCAGCAGGGGAAAAAGACCGTGAACTTCTCCGGCATGGCAGCATTTCACCGAGGAGCCCCGACCAAATCCAAAAACAGGTGAAATAGAAATTCGTGCAGTATGTAAGTATTGTAAAAAAACACTTTTCTAATAAAAAAGGGTGGGGGTACTGGTCATCTGGATAGACATTGGAAAGTATGTCTACCGTTGCACCAAGGTGGGAGTGTGGACTCCCGCTAACAAACACTATCATTCACATCATAGGGGTTGCAAAATTTTACATACGATGCACAACGTGCTCGTGAGGCACTAGCTAAATTTTTAGCTAGTGCCGAATTGCCTATTTCTTTTGCAAATGATGCGTCGTTCGAAGAAGTCATCCAGACGGCATTCCGCCCACAATCTAAACGGGTAAGTAGAAACACAACTCGTTCTGATTGCATGAAAGTGTTTTATGCAATGAGACAATCTCTTGTTGATAATTTTAGGACTTTTAATGCTATTGTCTCTTGCACTTCTGATCTATGGGAGGGGTGTAATAAAACTGGATATTTATGTGTCACGGCGCATTATGTTGATGACGAATGGGTTTTACAAAAAAGAATAATTAGTTTTCATTTATGTCCATATTCTCATAACGCATCATCTATTTTTGGTACAATAATGGAAATTTTTGAGTTTTATGGGATAGAAGATAAAGTTTTAACTATTACTTTTGATAATGCGTCAGCTAACATGGCTGCAATTAACATGTTTAAACGTAGTTTAAAACCAGTGTTTAGGGGGAAAATTTTTCATCAACGGTGTGCGTGTCACATAATCAATTTAGTAGTTCAGGCAGGAATTGAATATATTTCATCTAATCTAACAAATATTAGAGAATCTTTATCATTCATATCTAGTTCTGGAGCTCGGCTCTAAGAATTCAACTGCAGATGCGCCCAAGAAAGTTCCCAACTGACGTGAGACATAGGTGCAATTCCACCTATTTAATGTTAAAGGCATCACTCCCGTATTCACAGCTTATCACAACGTATGTAAATAGTAAGAACGATCAACTTTTAATTTTCGATACAGATTGGTAAATTGGTGAATATTTTTTAAAAAATTTCTAGAAGTTTTTTACAATGCTACTGAATTACTTTCTAGAGTTTATTATCCTACTGCACATTTAGCTTCACATCAACTATTTAATGTTTCAGAAATAGTGTCTTATTATAGGGATACAGAACTTTTTAGAGACATAGTTAAGTTAATGGAAATTAAATTCAAAAGTTATTGGTCAGGTTGTCCTATGTTATATGCATTAGCAACCATTTTAGATCCTAGGTGCGGAGTAAATGGGACTAAATCATTAATGACTGCTACAACAAAAATTTAGGAATTGATATGCAACTAACTATTACTGACGCTAAGAAAATGTTAGAAAAGGTATTTAGTTTGTATGAAGCAAAATACGACACAGGTCAAAAAGAACAACTTCGACGTCAACTAGCAGTTCGGGGCCTAAAGGATCGTCATGGAGTGTCTTGAACAAGAAAGAAAAAACAGCAGGATCGTCATCAACACAAGTGTCTACCGAACTAGTAAAATATTTTGAAGTAAATTTTGTAATCGATGACGACAAACTAGACATCTTACAGTGGTGGAAGAGCAAGACCAATCATTTTCCAACACTGTCCGTAATAGCTCGTGACATTCTGACAACTCCAGTGTCAGCGGTAGCATCGGAGCAAGCATTTAGCGCAAGCAACCGAATTCTTGACGAGAAGAGAAGCATAATGCATCCAAAGATCTTGGAGGGGCAAATGTGCGTTAAAGACTGGGAAGATGCCAGAAGACGAAAACAACAATACACGGATGATTCAATGCAAAAATATTTTTCTAACTTAGAAATAACAGAATCCTTTGAAAGCACTTAGGTTTGTAATTTACTATTCCTATTGCACTATCTTTTCCTTCGCTAAGGTTTTGTCCCGATCACCCCACGGATTTTACTTGGCAAGGTTTTTAACGAGGCAGTCATTTATGTGTACTTATATTCCTATTATGTCAATTCAATAAAATCACATCTTTCGGGGGCATATGATATATTTTCTTTTTTTTAATTAAATTTAAAAAAATATATTTGTTGGGCCGGCCCGTGAAGGGCCTGGGCCCAGGCCCGGCCCTGGCCCTTATGGACTAGGGCCGCGAGCTTGATTTTTTCTCCTCAGGCACGGCTCATGCACGGCCCTGCACTGTGCAGGGCCGTGCCAGGCCCGTCACGGACCTAGTGTTGGACGTGTCGTGCCGGCCCGATACGGAACGTTTGACACCTCTACACGAATGCTAAAAGAAACCTATTTGCAATGGTATTCTGGTGATTATTTTGTAGAAACTAGAAATATATGTGATCAACGATAAAACAGTTGTTTATTACACATTTCTTATTTATTCGGTTCATTTTAATACCTCAGATTGATTAATATCTATTAATATTGGGAGACATAGTCATGTCACCATATGAGGGTGTTCTTTCTAAATTTTAATATTATATGTCCATTTAGCGCACACTGTAAAATTTTATTAAATTCATGCATGATTTATTCCGATTAAAATTTCAGTAGGCAACGTGTTAATTTAGTCAAAATTCAAGGACACGAATGCTAAAAGAAATCTATTTGCAATGGCATTCTGGTGATCATTTTGTAGAAACTAGAAATATATTTGATCAACAATAAAATAGCTGTTTATTACACATTTCTTATTTATTTGGTTCATTTTAAGCCCTCGGATTGATTAATATCTATTAATAATGGGAGATATAGTGGGAAAAAAGATTTAAACTCTCGGCCTTGATATGGAGTCGGATGTAAAATTTTACTGCTAGGTTACCAATTCTTCGTATTATGTAAACGGTAAGATGTGTGTATTGTATATGGTACTGCATTATGTTGTATGTGAAGTGTCACGATGTTCATGACAAGATTAATCTATCTTATTGACCCATGCATGTGATTATCTATGCATTTATAGATAATGTAAAAATCAGTTAGAAGTGCATTACTGTGTTGTTTGAAATCTATGGGCTTG